ACGATACAGACACAGACACACACACACACACACACACACAGACACACACACACAGACACACACACACAGACACACACACACAAACACACACAGACACACACACACACACACAGACACACACACACACACAGACACACACACACAGACACACACACACAGACACACACACAGACACACACACACAGACACACACACACACACACAGACACAGACACACACAGACACACACACACACACACAGACAGACACACAACACACACACACACAGACACACGATACAGACACAGACACACACACACACACACACACACAGACACACACACAGACACACACACACACACACACACGCACACACAGACACACACACACACACACACAGATACACACACACACACACACACACACACAGATACACACAGACACACACACACACACACGCACACACAGACACACACACACACACAGATACACACACACACACACACACACAGATACACACAGACACACACACACACACACACACACACATCTGTCCAAACACATAACTACATTCTTTTGTTTTGAGGATTAACAACAGCAACAACAGACTCACTTATGCAACAAAAGTCAAATCTGTTTCATTATTAACAGAAAACACAGAAAACTATATTTTTTTAGAAAACTATAAAACTATGTAATTCTAAAGATTGTGTAAAGTCTGTAAATATTTTATGTGAGAATGTCCTCCTGTGGCTTCAATGTTTTCAGAGTCAAATTTAGAGAAAAATCACAAATCCGTGTTTAAATCAGCAATAAGTAAGATTTCCATGTGGAGCCATCATTAAAGGGCCCTAATCTGTCGTCATTAAAGGGCCCTAATCTGTCATCATTAAAGGGCCCTAATCTGTCGTCATTAAAGGGCCCTAATCTGTCGTCATTAAAGGGCCCTAATCTGTCGTCATTAAAGGGCCCTAATCTGTCATCATTAAAGGGCCCTAATCTGTCGTCATCAAAGGGCCCTAATCTGTCATCATTAAAGGGCCCTAATCTGTCGTCATTAAAGGGCCCTAATCTGTCATCATTAAAGGGCCCTAATCTGTCATCATTAAAGGGCCCTAATCTGTCGTCATTAAAGGGCCCTAATCTGTCGTCATTAAAGGGCCCTAATCTGTCATCATTAAAGGGCCCTAATCTGTCGTCATCAAAGGGCCCTAATCTGTCATCATTAAAGGGCCCTAATCTGTCGTCATTAAAGGGCCCTAATCTGTCATCATTAAAGGGCCCTAATCTGTCATCATTAAAGGGCCCTAATCTGTCGTCATTAACGGGCCCTAATCTGTCGTCATTAAAGGGCCCTAATCTGTCGTCATTAAAGGGCCCTAATCTGTCGTCATTAAAGGGCCCTAATCTGTCATCATTAAAGGGCCCTAATCTGTCGTCATCAAAGGGCCCTAATCTGTCGTCATTAAAGGGCCCTAATCTGTCGTCATTAAAGGGTCCTAATCTGTCGTCATTAAAGGGCCCTGATCTGTCATCATTAAAGGGCCCTAATCTGTCATTATTAAAGGACCCTAATCTGTCGTCATTAAAGGGCCCTAATCTGTCATCATTAAAGGGCCCTAATATATAAAGGGTCATAATAATAAACTGATATTTTCCGATACTTCTTTAACTGATAACAGTAGTTCAGAGATATTTAAATTTCTAAATTACTTTTCCAGCCTCTAAATCCTGTTATTGTTTTCATTTCGATGTCCCGCCCTCCACCGTTTCACCAATCAGAAAGTCTGTGATCCGGGCGCCAGAACTCACCGCGTGGAGCAAATCTCACTGGTAAAGTACCATGTGGAGCTAATCTCACTGGTAAAGTACCATGTGGAGCTAATCTCACTGGTAAAGTACCATGTGGCGCAGAACTAAAAAAGGTCTCGTTATGATTCTCAAATCATTAAAGTGGTTCTCACCCCCGCTCCTCGGAGCTTATGTTACTCACATTTCCTGTTCAAATCTTCCTCTAAATGGGCGTAGCCTGGAGGACTAAAGGGGCATGAACGAGACTGGGCCGTTTACATTGCTCTGGGCGGGGGGCTGCAGACGTCAGGTCCAATTTATGTGCCAGTGTTGGCGCCAGATTCAAAATTCAAATGTAGTAATACAGGTCGCCAGCAGATGGCGCCTCACAGACGGTTTTAGGCAGAAAGTCTAACTTTCAACTAATTTGCACCAAAGTGACAAGATTATGACCAGGATATGTAGACAACACTATTGGACACTCATTTATACCGTTTATCAGCAAAAAAAAGTGGATTTGAGGGTGAGTTGTCCTTTAACGACAAAACAAGGAATAAAACCAGGATTTCTATCTTTGTGAAAAAGGTGTTGGTTATAGATTTGTTGTTGACAAAACTCTTGTCTATTCAGCTGTTATGGTCCCAGCTGGATTCGTCTGCATATCTGGCAACCTGAGTCAGGGAGAGTGGGAGAGGCTGCAGTACCACTTTTGGCCACATTTTTAAATACTGCTGCTTTAATATGATACTAGTTAATGAATCAAATGAATAACTAAAATAGATCATTATTACTGAAATAACCTTTAAATGCAGCGATACCTGTCCTACAGCTTTAAACAACAATCTTGACAATAAAAATGACTTTATGGCATTTTTGACATATCTGAGGATTTACTCATGAACCACAAAATGAAAGATCATATTCTAGGTTTTCACTGCAGACTCAGCCTCAGTTCAGACGTACAGCAGGACACGTGCTCCGACTGGACCTAATTCAAGCCCTAACTTTCGCATTTCAAACACAGAGGATTCCTTGTTGCCAGAACAGACTTTAAAATGAAGTATAACGAGCAGATGAGCGACCACAGTGAACTCATGAAACACAGGATTTACCTCTGCCTCACCTCAACCCAACAAAACAACATGTGTCTTTGACCAAATCTGTGATGTTGATGTTGTAATTAATTATTTTATTATTTAATTCTTAAAGTTTTTATCGGTGGTGATATTTCCTAAAACTGCAGCTTCTCGAGATTTGCACATTCAAGTTTTCTCGGTTCAATCAGGTTTTTTCAGACGTGGAAATGTTGCAGACGAGTGTTGTAGTCTGGAAGTGATAATCCTGAAAACTATAACCACATCAACCAGGGTTAGGATCCAACAACATTAAAACATCAGAACTGTCCCCCCTAACCCCAAGCCCCGGCGATCCAAGATGGCGCCCTATTCAAATGAATGGTTGTGCTCAGTGGCGCTTTGTGGCGGCATGGGGGCTGAAAAGATTAGCGGAAGTTGTCTGAAACTCTCAAAGATCTATGGGAAACTCTCAAAGATCTATGGGAGACTCTCAAAGATATATGGGAAACATTTCTGGGTAGCCCACGTGAATTTAGTCTGGTCTAGGCTGCAGTACCGCGAGAATCCCCTGAGCACGTGAGTTATTCAGCAACAAGCTAGTAATACCCTATCCAGTTATTATAATAGATCCATGCCTAACCCTAACCCTCCTCATTCATCAGCTGATGTTACTTCCTGAGTGGGCGTGGTCAGCCTGATTGACAGGTCGCTCAGACTGACCACGCCTCCCTGGAGGAGGGTGTCCCATGTGTGCGACAGGAGGAAAGCTCTCTCATCTCGGTTGATGCTGTTGTTGACCCACTACTGTCTGTATGTTCTATGTTCTACGGCAGCCATTCCCAAACTCAGTAACACCGAGGCCCCCTTAAAAATCTGACGGGTCTGCGTGGCCCCCCAAAATAATAACCAAGAAGACAACATTAAGAATAGGCTCTTCTGGTTATTTTATTTTGGGGAAATAGCCTCTGCTACAAACATTGTAATACAAAAATGATTACAGTGGATCATTCAAGTCAAATAATGAACACAAATATTTTAATATTACAAACAAAACATTATAAATTTAACATTAAATAATTATATTATTTTTTTTATTTTTTTTATGACCTCCCGCGGCCCCCCTGCAGTACCCTCGCGGCCCACCAGGGGGCCGCGGACCCCACTTTGGGAGACACTGGTCTACGGCATTCAATCAGTCATGCTCGGCCGTGATAGGTCGAGAAGCCTCTGCCTACATCACTTCACTAGGATAAATTGGTCGTCAGCAGAATGTGAGTAGTAACTTTTTTTTTTGTAGTAACATGTAATAAATATATAGTATTAATATATAATGCACATTGATCAGACGGTACAGTCCATGCAAAAGCAAGAACATCTGGGAAACAGACTCTAAAGTGAAGACCCAGTAAAAGGCCCTTCACCTTTAATGCTGTGGACCACAAACCCACAAACTGTAGTTCCTTTTGGAAAAGTCTGGGTCAAGAATTTGCAGTTTAAACAAAAGGAGTTTCACAGGTTCAGATTCTTCAATAAGGCACAATGTAAAGGTTTTCCTCATTCATTTGTAGCTAAAGACTTATTTTGTTGTATTTTTAAATATTATTGGTTCAGTTGTATTAACATTAACATTGACTTCAATAAAAGGGTAAGGGTCCTGAGACATGACATTTCAATCATATTAGTCTTCGATCTGAGGCTGTTTCTGGAGAAGCCGGTGCATAATTACTCAATAAAGCAATTATCAAAGTTATCAAAGTTCCTCTCACGTAAACCATCTGCTCCGTCTTCATTATCCGCCTGACGCTGAGGCTTTGAGCAGAACATCTGGAAATCTGCTGTTTATCGTTGTACAAGGCATGGAGCTTTCACTAACAAGATGCTCCTTCACCGTCTGCTTTTGTGGTCACGGCACAAACCAATCAGATCCTTTCATCTCAGTCACTTATTATAAGAAGCTAAATTACAAAAAATATGAAAAGCCAAAAACCAAGAGTCGTGATTGTAGATTAATGACAAATTCGTCAAGTTCATTCCTTCACATAATACATTATCTACAATCTGCCTCAAACACGATCAATTTGAAATGGTTTGGACTTTACAGGATGAGACAAAAGGATCGATATAAATGCACGCCGTTCTCAGAGAAGCTTATCTTTATCTGGACAGCTCTGGGGCCGAGGGGAGGCGTCTCTCCAGCTCCCCCCAACACTCTGATGGGCAGTGAGTAATTACCGGGTCAAGCGGCGGCTGGTCTCTGAGGAGGTCTGTTAGCAGAGTGGGAGCTCTGTGGGCGCTGAGAGGAGGGTGTAAACAGCTCACCGTTATTACAGCGAACGGTGAACACTATTTCACAATGTGATATAGTGTTTTTTTAAACCTAAATAAATAAGTTTGTTGTGTCGACTAACACACATTAGCATCTCTTGTTTACAGTCACGGGGAAATGAGTGTCCCCCATTGTCAGTCCTGGTTTAGTCCTGATTTAGTCCTGGTTTAATCCTGGTTTAGTCCTTGTTTAGTCCTGATTTAGTCCTGGTTTAATCCTGGTTTAGTCCTGGTTTAGTCCTGGTTTCGAGTGTCTTGTGTCCCCGAGACCACTTTGCGGCTCTACGATAGCCGCACGTGCTTCCAGAGGAAAAAGTGCTTTCGCTGCATGCATCGAGTCACTTCTCTCACTGCCTCTGCCGCACATGCTACTCTCTGGGACGTTCATAACCATTGCGGTTGTTCTTTTTTGCATTTCCCAGAATGCCTTGCGGTTCATGCTCGGCCGTGATAGGTCGAGAAGCCTCTGCCTACATCCCCCAGAATGCCGCGTGCTTCTGACTCGGCTTTACTTTCTGTGTTTTCTTCCTGTTTTTTCTAACGGAGTGAAGCTAAACTATAGAAATTTCAATTGACGCCATTTTCTATTGACATTGAACCCGTGTTTATCGCGGTATATATTGTTATCGTTCTATGGCCCAGCCCCAGCGTACGGTCCGTGCAGAAATCTGACACACAAATGAGTGTCTTTGCTGCGTCTCTGCTGCAGCGACTCAGTGCCTTTAACTGCTCCTCTGGGAAGAATAAAGTGTGTAATTGATTCATAAATATCTGTTTTTGGAAAAGTGCACAGAAAGCCTGCAGTAGAGGCACACATCGATCTAAGTCGTTGATAGCTCTGTCATTAGTGATGAAGCAAAAAGTATTTATTGACGTTTTATTCTGTTTCCTAAAACAAAAGGTTGTGATGTCATCCTTGGTGGTTTTTATTGTAAATGCATTCAAATGGATCAACACTCAAGAGGAGATAATATAGGAGACAGAAAATCATGATACTCATCTCTTATGTTTAACTTTACAAATATAGACCATTTTAAAAGCCTCCAATCTCATGCATTGTTTACTTTATCTGCACATTCTACTATTCATTTTAAAAGCAGGTGCAGAGAGAGTTAGATCTGGATTTGATAAATAAAATCCTTCGGTTTTTTATCAGGCTCTTACGATACTCAAAGTACTCCACATGTTAGTATTCATTCATGCCATGGATGGTGGTAATAAATCATTACTGTAGCCACAGCTGCCCCGGAGCACACTGACAGAGGAGAGGCTCTGACCACCACCAACCACACACACACAGACTCATTCACACACACCAGACTCATTCACACACACCAGACTCATTCACACACACAGACTCATTCACACACACACAGACTCATTCACACACACCAGACTCATTCACACACACAGACTCATTCACACACACCAGACTCATTCACACACACCAGACTCGTTCACACACACCAGACTCATTCACACACACCAGACTCGTTCACACACACCAGACTCATTCACACACACAGACTCATTCACACACACCAGACTCGTTCACACACACCAGACTCATTCACACACACAGACTCATTCACACACACCAGACTCGTTCACACACACCAGACTCGTTCACACACACCAGACTCATTCACACACACCAGACTCGTTCACACACACCAGACTCGTTCACACACACCAGACTCGTTCACACACACCAGACTCGTTCACACACACCAGACTCGTTCACACACACACTCCACACACAGACTCGTTCACACACACCAGACTCGTTCACACACACCAGACTCGTTCACACACACCAGACTCGTTCACACACACCAGACTCGTTCACACACACCAGACTCGTTCACACACACCAGACTCGTTCACACACACCAGACTCATTCACACACACCAGACTCATTCACACACACCAGACTCATTCACACACACCAGACTCATTCACACACACCAGACTCGTTCACACACACCAGACTCGTTCACACACACCAGACTCATTCACACACACCAGACTCGTTCACACACACCAGACTCGTTCACACACACCAGACTCGTTCACACACACCAGACTCGTTCACACACACCAGACTCGTTCACACACACCAGACTCATTCACACACACCAGACTCATTCACACACACCAGACTCATTCACACACACCAGACTCGTTCACACACACCAGACTCGTTCCACACACACCAGACTCGTTCACACACACCAGACTCGTTCACACACACCAGACTCATTCACACACACCAGACTCATTCACACACACACTCATTCACAACTCATTCATTCACACACCAGACTCATTCACACACACAGACTCATTCACACACACCAGACTCGTTCACACACACCAGACTCGTTCACACACACCAGACTCATTCACACACACCAGACTCATTCACACACACCAGACTCGTTCACACACACCAGACTCGTTCACACACACCAGACTCATTCACACACACCAGACTCATTCACACACACACCAGACTCATTCACACACACAGACTCATTCACACACACCAGACTCGTTCACACACACCAGACTCATTCACACACACCAGACTCGTTCACACACACCAGACTCGTTCACACACACCAGACTCGTTCACACACACCAGACTCGTTCACACACACCAGACTCGTTCACACACACCAGACTCGTTCACACACACCAGACTCATTCACACACACACAGACTCGTTCACACACACCAGACTCTTTCACACACACCAGACTCATTCACACACACCAGACTCGTTCACACACACCAGACTCTTTCACACACACCAGACTCGTTCACACACACAGACTCGTTCACACACACCAGACTCTTTCACACACACCAGACTCGTTCACACACACCAGACTCGTTCACACACACCAGACTCATTCACACACACCAGACTCGTTCACACACACCAGACTCTTTCACACACACCAGACTCGTTCACACACACAGACTCGTTCACACACACCAGACTCTTTCACACACACCAGACTCGTTCACACACAGATCATTCCAGGCAGTATGGGTGAAGTGTTTAAGGACATAATGTTTAGCACCTGGTGTTCCCAGAGGTCTCCCATCACAGAACTAACCAGGTCCTGCTCTGCTTAGCTTCAGAGGTCTGACAGGATCTGGCTTTTACAAACTAGTTGCTAGAATCAGCTACATGTCAGTACGGTATAACGTCACTATTGCTCATGCATGTTACACTAAAGTAGTTTTGTTGGTGCTTATAACTGCCCTGAAAATACATTGATCCATCACATTAATGAAAGATCCAGTTTTACAGAGGCCTCTCCTAATCTAGAAGGTTTTAATTAAGAAATGAATCAAGCGAACAAGACACATAAACATGAACACGTGTAAATCAATATCCAAACAAAAGCCAAGCTGTTTCCTCATCCATCAGTCTGAGAGCCACACCTGCCCCAGCACTTAATACTTCAGGCTCTATTAGCCAATCAGCTGTGAACACACACCCAGGCGTGTGCACATCATCTGTGAACACACACCCAGGCGTGTGCACGTCAGCTGTGAACACACACCCAGGCTCGTGCACGTCAGCTGTGAACCAGTGGGGGCGGGTTCTGGTTCAAAAGTGGCCAAAATGACGTGCGCTGACATGCTGCAGTACCGCCTGTGGGGGTGGACCCAGGATAAGAATTAGCCAATGCTAACATATAGCATTGGCAGAACTCTGGAAAACGTCTTTACAGGATGGTCCAAAAGTGGCTCTTGGTCCAAAGCTCCGTTCCACATGTGTGTCAATGCTGAGGGAGTGTTCTGGACCAGTCTAGTTTAGTCGCTGTGGACTTTAGAAGTCACTCGTTTAAATGAATGGGGCTCGTGCACATCATCTGTGAACACACACCCAGGCTTGTGCACGTCATCTGTGAACACACACCCAGGCTTGTGCACGTCATCTGTGAACACACACCCAGGCTCGTGCACGTCATCTGTGAACACACACCCAGGCTCGTGCACGTCATCTGTGAACACACACCCAGGCGCGTGCACGTCATCTGTGAACACACACCCAGGCGCGTGCACGTCATCTGTGAACACACACCCAGGCTCGTGCACGTCATCTGTGAACACACACCCAGGCTCATGCACGTCATCTGTGAACACACACCCAGGCGCGTGCACGTCATCTGTGAACACACACCCAGGCGCGTGCACGTCATCTGTGAACACACACCCAGGCGTGTGCACGTCATCTGTGAACACACACCCAGGCGCGTGCACGTCATCTGTGAACACACACCCAGGCGCGTGCACGTCATCTGTGAACACACACCCAGGCGCGTGCACGTCATCTGTGAACACACACCCAGGCTCGTGCACGTCATCTGTGAACACACACCCAGGCGTGTGCACGTCATCTGTGAACACACACCCAGGCTCGTGCACGTCATCTGTGAACACACACCCAGGCGCGTGCACGTCATCTGTGAACACACACCCAGGCTTGTGCACGTCATCTGTGAACACACACCCAGGCTCGTGCACGTCATCTGTGAACACACACCCAGGCGCGTGCACGTCATCTGTGAACACACACCCAGGCGCGTGCACGTCATCTGTGAACACACACCCAGGCGCGTGCACGTCATCTGTGAACACACACCCAGGCTTGTGCACGTCATCTGTGAACACACACCCAGGCGCGTGCACGTCATCTGTGAACACACACCCAGGCGCGTGCACGTCATCTGTGAACACACGCCCAGGCTCGTGCACGTCATCTGTGAACACACACCCAGGCGTGTGCACGTCATCTGTGAACACACACCCAGGCTCGTGCACGTCATCTGTGAACACACACCCAGGCTCGTGCACGTGTCAGAAGCGTCTGAGGAGCCGACAGGAGGTGGAGCCTAAACCATCTCTGGTGCAGGACATTTAAAGGAGAGGAAGAATAACTGTGCACATCATAAACCTTGTGTCTAGGACTGAAGAAGAACACAAACAATTAAACAAATGTGTAAAAACTAAAATATTGAGAGAAATACACACTCCTGAAAAATGTCACAAACATACTTCTTCTAAAGCACTAGACAAACTGGATGTGTGTGTAATAACTGGTGTGTGTGTAATAACTGGTGTGTGTGTGTGTGTGTGTGTAATAACTGGTGTGTGTGTGTAATAACTGGTGTTAGGGGTGGGCGATATGGCCTAAAATTCATATTGCGGTATAATTTGGTGTGTGAATTTCAATATAGGTCTAGCAGGTTCTTGCATAAAATAGTCAAGATTGTTACTTATTTATATATTAGAATCTAATATATATATTTTTTGAGTTAGAAAATCAGTTGTGAGACGAATAAAGAGACAAATGTTGTAACATACATTATTTATGTATGTTACAGTAAATACCATTCACTGTAAAAGCAATTTTTAAAAAGAAAAACATAAAATTATAAAATTATTTATTATTAAAATATAAAAAACTCACAAATGTTGAAATCAAAGTCTGTAGGAGTTAGACATGGTCATTATTTATAGTGTCTGAGAGTTTTGTGTGTGTACATGGCTTCAGTAAAAGCTATTGCTCGTTTACAAAGCTGGTCTTGCCATTTGTTGACGCTCCCTAAGCGCTTTTCTCTGCACTTGCAGTGAACTGGATTTATCTGCATTAAAACAGCGCATTGGAATTGAACAATTGATGTAAATGATCATTTTGGCACAATTAATTTTGTTTAACAAAGTAGCTTTCGTGAGATATTGACCGCGGAGGTCCGAATCTGACGCTAACTTTCCCAAACTTCTGAATGTGATGATGCTGTGGACACGGCACACGCATGGATCTATTTTGGCTCACGCTGGCGCTTCGAGCCTACGCCCCTTTGACACTGATTGGCCAAAAGGTAAACTCTTAAACTGTGATTACTGTGTGTGTATTTACCTCTGCTGGGGCCGCTGTGACAACAATACAGAGACAGAAACACGGTGTTAATGCCGTGCTGCTGTTCGCTGTTTCCAGTGGTGTCTGCTAGGCTAATGTGCTAGGCTAATACTAGGCTAATGTGCTAGGCTAATAGTGCTAGGCTAATAGTGCTAGGCTAATGTGCTAGGCTAATACTAGGCTAATGTGCTAGGCTAATAGTGCTAGGCTAATAGTGCTAGGCTAATAGTGCTAGGCTAATAGTGCTAGGCTAATGCTGCTGAATGCCGGTTTGTTTTGGTCCTTTCTGCTGGCGTCAGAGCCTGCGCAATTTAATAACATAATGACCTATTGCAATATGCCGGTATAACAAAAATCTCTACCGTGGGCTAAATTTATATCGCATACCGCTTATACCGCTTATACCGTTTATACCGCCCAGCCCTAACTGGTGTGTGTGTGTGTGTGTGTAATAACAGGTGTGTGTGTAATAACTGGTGTGTGTGTGTGTGTGTGTGTGTAATAACTGGTGTGTGTGTGTGTAATAACTGGTGTGTGTGTGTGTAATAACTGGTGTGTGTGTGTGTGTAATAACTGGTGTGTGTGTGTGTGTAATAACTGGTGTGTGTGTAATAACTGGTGTGTGTGTGTGTGTGTAATAACTGGTGCGTGTGTGTGTGTGTGTGTAATAACTGGTGTGTGTGTGTAATAACTGGTGTGTGTGTGTGTAATAACTGGTGCGTGTGTGTGTGTGTGTGTAATAACTGGTGTGTGTGTAATAACTGGTGTGTGTGTGTGTAATAACTGGTGTGTGTGTAATAACTGGTGTGTGTGTAATAACTGGTGTGTGTGTGTGTAATAACTGGTGTGTGTGTGTAATAACTGGTGTAATAACTAACTCCTGTTAGTGCCCAGAGTCAGAACTAAACATGGGGAGGCTGCTTTTCAGATTCATGCTGCTAAAATCTGGAACAGTCTTCCTGAAGATGTGAGACAGGCCTCCTCTCTGACAATGTTTAAAACCATGTTAAAGACAGTTCTGTTTAGCTGTGCTACAACTGAGGGATTTTATATTTTTATCTTTCTTATTAATGTTCTGTGATTATTTATGATTTTAATGCTTTCTTGTTTTGTTCAGCACTTTGAGTTGCCTTGTGTATGAATTGTGCTATATAAATAAATTTGCCTTGCCTTGGTGTGTGTGTGTAATAAATGTCTCTGACGTCTTGACAGTGGAAAATGAAAAACTGTCTTTAGTGTTTTGTTGAACACATGTCCCTCCAAAGGACCCTCTCACTTCTGTCCCTGGCGAGTAATGAGCTCTAATCCACTTAAGCGCTCGCCGTTTCTCGCCGTTTCTCGCCGTTTCTCGCCGTTTCTCGCCGTTTCTCGCCGTCACCTCCACATCCAACACTTTTAATCTTCTTCGCTCTCATCTGCACGGAAACAAAGACAGAGGGAATCCCTCTCTCTGAGCTCCTCTGGCTCCGTCTCATTGTTACAGCCACAGTCAGGGTGTTTGAGGGGGGAGAGAGGAGGGGGGAGAGGAGGGGGGGGGAGAGGGGGGGGGGGGGGGGGGGGGGGGGGGGGGGGGGGAGGGGGGGGAGAGGAGGAGGGGGGAGAGGAGGGGGGGGGGGGGAGGAGGGGGGGGGGAGGGGGGAGAGAGGAGGGGGGGGAGAGGAGGAGGAGGAGGGGAAGGAGGGGGGGGGAGAGGAGGAGGAGGAGGGGGAAGGAGGGGGGAGGAGACGGAGGGCCATACACCCTCATCAATAATACATCTGCTCCTCCTCACAGTGACTCAGGACTGAGGCCTCTGTTAAAGGAACAGGACCATCTTCTGTTTGTCAGAAACGTTTCTCTGCTCCATGAAATCTGAAAAGTCTGCTTCAGTTTCTGGAATTTGCTCCAAACAAAAGCAGCGACCACTAAATAATATAAAATATGTATATTATATATATATATATATATATATATATATATATATATATATATATATATATATATATATATACATATAAAACATCTGTTTCTTTAATGCACTGAAATATCACACATTATTTTAAACTCTGACAATACTATCAAGTCTGGAAATGTATCCTCCCCACCATCACTGAAGTACATGGAAGTACATGGAAGTACATGGAGTACATGGAGTACATGGAAGTGCATGAAGTACATGGAGTACATGGAAGTACATGGAGTACATGGAAGTGCATGGAGTACATGGAGTACATGGAAGTACATGGAAGTACATGGAGTACATGGAAGTACATGGAAGTACATGGAAGTAAGTACAACACATTACTGAACTGTAATAATTTGCATAGAACCTTTCTATATAAATATATGAACGAAGAGGCCTGATCAATGCTAATAACATTTATAATTACAGATACCATTTGATTTATGACGGTTTTGATTGTATTAATTGTTTATTTGTTTGGGACAGTAGTCTCTGTTGTTTTGAGCTAATATTGAGCTAAAATGAGTCCATTGTCCCACATTCACAAACACACACTCAGTAACCCGGAACTACTATTGTCCATGTTTTCAGTGGTGCAGAAACCAGAGCACCTGGAGGAAACCTGCACAGACACAGGGAGAACATGCAAACTCAACACAGAATCAAACATGGGACATTCTTGCAGTGAAACACAAGTGCTAACCACTCTGCCACTGTGCCGCCCACAGCTAGGACAATCCAAGTCATTTACAGATTCATCAAACGACTCAAAGTGAATCCACCGTTTACATTTTTCAGGATTTTACGTTGTTTTCTGTGAAAGTAGTGGTTTTGCATTGACTCCACAGCAGTCATTTGAATAATAGACAAAACATGTTTTTATAGACTTTTGTTCAAGTCGACTAATCCATCGGAAGTAAATGTAAATGTGCACTTTATTGTCTCCGTAGGGAAATTTGTCCTCTGCATTTGACCCGGATCCTGAGGCCTCTAAGCTTTACGTCAGGAGTAGTGGTCGCCGTAGCAACAGCGCCCGGAACCGTCTCCAGATGTTGATGCTCGGCTTGGTCAGGACTATTGCAGCTGACGGATTTTACCTACTGAGCATATTTCGAATGATAGGGGAAACCGGAGCACCAGGAGGAAACGTACGCAGACACGGGGAGAACATACAACTCCACTCAAAAAAGCCCTGTTGCGACCAGGATTCAAACCCAGGACCTTAATGCTGAGTGGCGAGAACGCTAACCACTGTTTGGTTCTTGACATCCTGAAGGAGCGGGTGCCGCAGCAGCCAATCACACTGCTCTATATTCTGCTCACATCCCAGAATGCAAAGCACACCTGGAAGAAAGCAGCCGCTATTCGAGGTCACACACACTGAGGACCAAGATACACACACTGAGGACCAAGATACACACACTGAGGACCGAGGTCACACACTCTGAGGACCGAGGTCACACACTGAGGACCAAGATACACACACTCGGATCCCTTTCTCAAATGGGTCTCCCTCCCTGTGGGTTTCCCTAGTGCTCCCCAAGGTTTCTCACTTTTTCTCACTGGGTTTTTTAAGAGTTGTTCCTTGTGGATGCAGGAGGGTCTTGTTGGACAGTTAGTGTCCAACAGAAAGGATTGGTGATGATCAGGACACTTTAGCATTCTACAACATGTATGGACACTTTCTTCTGTGTGTGCTTTATATTCTTCATGTGTTTTGGCTGTTGATTCTCTGACCTGTGTTGGTGATTTCAATGGTTTTGTTAAGTCTCTGAGATGACTTCTGTTGTGACCTAGGGCTATACAAGAATACATTGTATTGTAATTTGTATTGTACTCTGAGGACCAAGATACACACTCTGAGGACCGAGGTCACACACTCTGAGGACCGAGGTCACACACTCTGAGGACCGAGGTCACACACTCTGAGGACCAAGATACACACTCTGAGGACCGAGGTCACACACTCTGAGGACCGAGGTCACACACTCTGAGGACCAAGATACACACACTGAGGACCGAGGTCACACACACTGAGGACCAAGGTCACACACTGAGGACCAAGATACACACACTGAGGACCGAGGTCACACACACTGAGGACCGAGGTCACACACACTGAAGACCAAGATACACACACTCTGAGGACCAAGGTCACACACTATGAGGACCAAGATACACACACTGAGGACCAAGATACACACACTGAGGACCAAGGTCACACACACTGAGGACCAAGGTCACACACTCTGAAGACCAAGATACACAAACTGAGGACCAAGATACACACACACTGAGGGCCGAGGTCACACACACTGAGTCACACACATTCAAGTCGATCTGGGCTGTTTTAAATCATCCTCAGAGTGACCTTGAAAGCTTCCTGCAGTTTCTGAAGAGTAGCTTTGTTCAGCCACAGATGTGCAGAGTATGAAGGAGAGCAGCAGGCTTTGAATAAGGTCAACTTCACTTAAGTATTCATCTTATGTTTTTATGTAATTTACTTCACATTGAAACAAAACGTGGAGCTAATAAAAACAGCAGGAAAATGTTAAAACACATTTATTTCCCAATGAATGTATTATACTGGTCCCAGAGTCAGAACTAGACATGGGAAAGGCAGATTTATGCTAAAATCTGGAACAATCGTCTTGAAAATGTGAGGCAGGTGTCTACTCTGACAGTTTTAAACTCTAGATCTGTTTCTGACACAACTGAATCATTTCATATTTACTCTTTTTCATGCACTGTGGCTATTTATTGTGTGATTTTAATGTTTTAACGTTTTCAATTACTTATGATTTCATTCTGTTTTTAAATATTTCTTGTGATCTGGATATTTTTTCTGTCTATGTAGATTTTAATGATAATGATTTGCTTGATGTGATGTGGGTTGTGAGGCGCTTTGTGTTGCCTTGAGTAGGAGAGGAATCAACAATTAAAAGTGAATAAATGTGATAAATGTGGGTTTCTCTGGATGTTGCTTCTTTCTGTTTCATGTCTTCTAGTCCTTACCAAACTTCACTAAACTCCAAAGTCTAAAAACATGTCCCCAAACTCCAACAGCACGAGCCAAAAGCAGAATCCAAACTGGAATAAAACATAAAACTCGCTGGACCAACATCTAAAAAGAAAGCGGCGGCTGTTACACGTATGGAATTACCAATTATTAATCATTTAATCGGGCAAAAACCAAAAAGGCAAACCCACCAAACCCGGGTGGATTCTGTGGAGGCAGCGGCTGCATTTACAGTTACAGACTCTGACAGAAAGTGGGAGATTTGCTCCATACCAAAGCAGATTAAAGAAAGGACATTTTAATAACACCATATTCCCAGATGGTGAGGTCCTCTGTGGACTGGTCACAGCGGGTCAGAAAAGTACATTTAAACAGGAATCTTAGTAATGTTTTAGGACAATGTATGTTCTGGTATTGGTCATGAACGATTAGAGCAGCTCATTAGCTCGTTAGCCCATTAGCTCAGTAGCTCAAAGGCTTATTAGCAAGTGCCAGCAGCTTCAACCTGAATGAAAAGTGCATGAAACATCACATGGGCTTATTATACATAAAGGTGCCATAAAGGTTATTGGTGTAATTAATTGATAAATGAAATAAATACAGTTTTCTCAATAGAAATGTATGATTAAAATGGGGCAAGTGCAGCTAACGCATGCGCAAATGTGTTTTTTCACATTTTCCTGCCCTGCGGCCATTTTGAAACTGCCCATAAACGGCGAAAGTGGTGTCACATTAGTTTCAGCGGCGGAGATAGCTGTGACTACATCTATTAATATTTACAGTTTATGGTTTGAACATGTGGACCAAACAAAGCGGGAAGTGAAGACAGCAAAAACACTGAACTGCTTCATAACCCGTTGCTCACATGTGGGTAAAGGAAAGAAGGTTTCAACATCACACAGGAAGTAAACACACAGCAGCGTAAGTCTCCCCGTTCAACCTCCCCCCATCACCCGCACTAACCTCCTCACCCCCATCACCCGCACTAACCTCCTCACCCCCATCACCCGCACTAACCTCCTCACCCCCATCACCCACACTAACCTCCTCACCCCCATCACCCGCACTAACCTCCTCACCCCCATCACCCACACTAACCTCCTCACCCCCATCACCCGCACTAACCTCCTCACCCCCATCACCCACACTAACCTCCTCACCCCCATCACCCGCACTAACCCTCACCCCCATCACCCACACTAACCTCCTCACCCCCATCACCCACACTAACCTCCTCACCCCCATCACCCGCACTAACCTCCTCACCCCCATCACCCGCACTAACCTCCTCACTCCCATCACCCGCACTAACCTCCTCACCCCCATCACCCACACTAACCTCCTCACCCCCATCACCCGCACTAACCTCCTCACTCCCATCACCCACACTAACCTCCTCACCCCCATCACCCACACTAACCTCCTCACCCCCATCACCCGCACTAACCTCCTCACTCCCATCACCCGCACTAACCTCCTCACCCCCATCACCCACACTAACCTCCTCACCCCCATCACCCACACTAACCCTCACCCCCATCACCCACACTAACCTCCTCACCCCCATCACCCGCACTAACCTCCTCACCCCCATCACCCGCACTAACCTCCTCACCCCCATCACCCACACTAACCTCCTCACTCCCATCCCCCGCACTAACCTCCTCACCCCCATCACCCACACTAACCTCCTCACCCCCATCACCCGCACTAACCTCCTCACCCCCATCACCCACACTAACCTCCTCACCCCCATCACCCACACTAACCTCCTCACCCCCATCACCCGCACTAACCTCCTCACCCCCATCACCCACACTAACCTCCTCACCCCCATCACCCACACTAACCTCCTCACTCCCATCACCCGCACTAACCTCCTCACCCCCATCACCCGCACTAACCTCCTCACCCCCATCACCCACACTAACCTCCTCACCCCCATCACCCGCACTAACCTCCTCACCCCCATCACCCGCACTAACCTCCTCACCCCCATCACCCGCACTAACCCTCACCCCCATCACCCACACTAACCCTCACCCCCCATCACCCGCACTAACCTCCTCACCCCCATCACCCACACTAACCTCCTCACCCCCATCACCCGCACTAACCTCCTCACCCCCATCACCCGCACTAACCTCCTCACCCCCATCACCCGCACTAACCTCCTCACCCCCATCACCCGCACTAACCTCCTCACCCCCATCACCCACACTAACCTCCTCACTCCCATCACCCACACTAACCTCCTCACCCCCATCACCCGCACTAACCTCCTCACTCCCATCACCCACACTAACCCTCACCCCCATCACCCACACTAACCTCCTCACCCCCATCACCCGCACTAACCTCCTCACCCCCATCACCCGCACTAACCTCCTCACCCCCATCACCCGCACTAACCTCCTCACCCCATCACCCGCACTAACCTCCTCACCCCCATCACCCGCACTAACCTCCTCACTCCCATCACCCGCACTAACCTCCTCACTCCCATCACCCACACTAACCTCCTCACCCCCATCACCCGCACTAACCTCCTCACCCCCATCACCCGCACTAACCTCCTCACCCCCATCACCCACACTAACCCTCACCCCCATCACCCACACTAACCTCCTCACTCCCATCACCCACACTAACCTCCTCACTCCCATCACCCACACTAACCTCCTCACCCCCATCACCCGCACTAACCTCCTCACCCCCATCACCCGCACTAACCTCCTCACCCCCATCACCCGCACTAACCTCCTCACCCCCATCACCCGCACTAACCTCCTCACCCCCATCACCCACACTAACCTCCTCACCCCCATCACCCACACTAACCTCCTCACCCCCATCACCCGCACTAACCTCCTCACCCCCATCACCCACACTAACCTCCTCACTCCCATCACCCGCACTAACCCTCACCCCCATCACCCGCACTAACCTCCTCACCCCCATCACCCGCACTAACCTCCTCACCCCCATCACCCGCACTAACCTCCTCACCCCCATCACCCACACTAACCTCCTCACCCCCATCACCCGCACTAACCTCCTCACCCCCATCACCCACACTAACCTCCTCACTCCCATCACCCGCACTAACCTCCTCACCCCCATCACCCGCACTAACCTCCTCACCCCCATCACCCGCACTAACCTCCTCACCCCCATCACCCGCACTAACCTCCTCACCCCCATCACCCACACTAACCTCCTCACCCCCATCACCCACACTAACCTCCTCACCCCCATCACCCGCACTAACCTCCTCACCCCCATCACCCACACTAACCTCCTCACTCCCATCACCCGCACTAACCCTCACCCCCATCACCCGCACTAACCTCCTCACCCCCATCACCCGCACTAACCTCCTCACCCCCATCACCCGCACTAACCTCCTCACCCCCATCACCCACACTAACCTCCTCACCCCCATCACCCGCACTAACCTCCTCACCCCCATCACCCACACTAACCTCCTCACTCCCATCACCCACACTAACCTCCTCACCCCCATCACCCGCACTAACCTCCTCACTCCCATCACCCACACTAACCTCCTCACCCCCATCACCCACACTAACCTCCTCACCCCCATCACCCGCACTAACCTCCTCACCCCCATCACCCACACTAACCCTCACCCCCATCACCCACACTAACCTCCTCACTCCCATCACCCACACTAACCTCCTCACTCCCATCACCCACACTAACCTCCTCACCCCCATCACCCGCACTAACCTCCTCACCCCCATCACCCACACTAACCTCCTCACCCCCATCACCCGCACTAACCTCCTCACTCCCATCACCCACACTAACCTCCTCACCCCCATCACCCACACTAACCTCCTCACTCCCATCACCCACACTAACCTCCTCACCCCCATCACCCGCACTAACCTCCTCACCCCCATCACCCGCACTAACCTCCTCACCCCCATCACCCGCACTAACCTCCTCACTCCCATCACCCACACTAACCTCCTCACTCCCATCACCCACACTAACCTCCTCACCCCCATCACCCGCACTAACCTCCTCACCCCCATCACCCGCACTAACCTCCTCACTCCCATCACCCACACTAACCTCCTCACTCCCATCACCCACACTAACCTCCTCACTCCCATCACCCACACTAACCTCCTCACCCCCATCACCCACACTAACCTCCTCACCCCCATCACCCACACTAACCTCCTCACCCCCATCACCCACACTAACCTCCTCACCCCCATCACCCGCACTAACCTCCTCACCCCCATCACCCGCACTAACCTCCTCACCCCCATCACCCACACTAACCTCCTCACCCCCATCACCCACACTAACCTCCTCACCCCCATCACCCGCACTAACCTCCTCACCCCCATCACCCGCACTAACCTCCTCACTCCCATCACCCGCACTAACCCTCACCCCCATCACCCGCACTAACCTCCTCACCCCCATCACCCGCACTAACCTCCTCACCCCCATCACCCGCACTAACCTCCTCACCCCATCACCCACACTAACCTCCTCACCCCATCACCCGCCTAACCTCCTCACCCCCATCACCCGCACTAACCTCCTCACCCCCATCACCCGCACTAACCTCCTCACCCCCATCACCCGCACTAACCTCCTCACTCCCATCACCCGCACTAACCTCCTCACCCCATCACCCGCACTAACCTCCTCACCCCCATCACCCGCACTAACCTCCTCACTCCCATCACCCGCACTAACCTCCTCACCCCATCACCCGCACTAACCTCCTCACCCCCATCACCCGCACTAACCTCCTCACCCCCATCACCCGCACTAACCCTCACCCCCATCACCCACACTAACCTCCTCACTCCCATCACCCACACTAACCTCCTCACCCCCATCACCCGCACTAACCTCCTCACCCCCATCACCCCACACTAACCTCCTCACCCCCATCACCCACACTAACCTCCTCACCCCCATCACCCGCACTAACCCTCACCCCCATCACCCGCACTAACCTCCTCACCCCCATCACCCGCACTAACCTCCTCACCCCCATCACCCACACTAACCTCCTCACCCCCATCACCCGCACTAACCTCCTCACCCCCATCACCCGCACTAACCTCCTCACCCCCATCACCCGCACTAACCTCCTCACCCCCATCACCCGCACTAACCTCCTCACCCCCATCACCCCCATCACCCACACTAACCTCCTCACCCCATCACCCGCACTAACCTCCTCACCCCCATCACCCGCACTAACCTCCTCACCCCCATCACCCGCACTAACCTCCTCACCCCCATCACCCACACTAACCTCCTCACCCCCATCACCCGCACTAACCTCCTCACCCCCATCACCCGCACTAACCTCCTCACCCCCATCACCCGCACTAACCTCCTCACCCCCATCACCCGCACTAACCTCCTCACCCCCATCACCCACACTAACCTCCTCACCCCCATCACCCGCACTAACCTCCTCACCCCCATCACCCGCACTAACCTCCTCACCCCCATCACCCGCACTAACCTCCTCACCCCCATCACCCGCACTAACCTCCTCACCCCCATCACCCGCACTAACCTCCTCACCCCCATCACCCGCACTAACCTCCTCACCCCCATCACCCGCACTAACCTCCTCACCCCCATCACCCACACTAACCTCCTCACCCCCATCACCCGCACTAACCTCCTCACCCCCATCACCCGCACTAACCTCCTCACCCCCATCACCCACACTAACCTCCTCACCCCCATCACCCTCACTAACCTCCTCACCCCCATCACCCACACTAACCTCCTCACCCCATCACCCGCACTAACCTCCTCACCCCCATCACCCGCACTAACCTCCTCACCCCCATCACCCGCACTAACCTCCTCACCCCCATCACCCGCACTAACCTCCTCACCCCCATCACCCACACTAACCTCCTCACCCCCATCACCCGCACTAACCTCCTCACCCCCATCACCCGCACTAACCTCCTCACCCCCATCACCCGCACTAACCTCCTCACCCCCATCACCCGCACTAACCTCCTCACCCCCATCACCCGCACTAACCCTCACCCCCATCACCCACACTAACCTCCTCACCCCCATCACCCGCACTAACCTCCTCACCCCCATCACCCGCACTCACCCTCACCCCCATCACCCGCACTAATCTCCTCACCCCCATCACCCGCACTCACCTCCTCACCCCCATCACCCACACTAACCTCCTCACCCCCATCACCCACACTAACCTCCTCACCCCATCACCCGCATTAACCTCCTCACCCCCATCACCCGCACTAACCTCCTCACCCCCATCACCCGCACTAACCTCCTCACCCCCATCACCCGCACAAACCTCCTCACCCCCATCACCCGCACTAACCTCCTCACCCCCATCACCCGCACTAACCTCCTCACCCCCATCACCCGCACTAACCTCCTCACTCCCATCACCCGCACTAACCTCCTCACCCCCATCACCCGCACTAACCTCCTCACCCCCATCACCCACACTAACCTCCTCACCCCCATCACCCGCATTAACCTCCTCACCCCCATCACCCGCACTAACCTCCTCACCCCCATCACCCGCACTAACCTCCTCACCCCCATCACCCGCACTAACCTCCTCACCCCCATCACCCGCACTAACCTCCTCACCCCCATCACCCGCACTAACCTCCTCACCCCCATCACCCGCACTAACCTCCACACCCCATCACCCGCACTAACCTCCTCACCCCCATCACCACACTAACCTCCTCACCCCCATCACCCACACTAACCTCCTCACCCCCATCACCCACACTAACCTCCTCACTCCCATCACCCGCACTAACCTCCTCACCCCTCACCCCACTAACCTCCTCACCCCCATCACCCACTAACCTCCTCACCCCCATCACCCACACTAACCTCCTCACCCCCATCACCCACACTAACCTCCTCACCCCCATCACCCACACTAACCTCCTCACCCCCATCACCCACACTAACCTCCTCACCCCCATCACCCGCACTAACCTCCTCACCCCCATCACCCACACTAACCTCCTCACCCCCATCACCCACACTAACCTCCTCACCCCCATCACCCGCATTAACCTCCTCACCCCCATCACCCGCACTAACCTCCTCACCCCCATCACCCACACTAACCTCCTCACCCCCATCACCCGCACTAATCTCCTCACCCCCATCACCCGCACTCACCTCCTCACCCCCATCACCCACACTAACCTCCTCACCCCCATCACCCGCACTAACCCTCACCCCCATCACCCGCACTAACCTCCTCACCCCCATCACCCGCACTAACCTCCTCACCCCCATCACCCGCACTAACCTCCTCACCCCCATCACCCGCACTAACCCCTCACCCCCATCACCCGCACTAACCTCCTCACCCCCATCACCCGCACTAACCTCCTCACCCCCATCACCCGCACTAACCTCCTCACCCCCATCACCCGCACTAACCTCCTCACCCCCATCACCCACACTAACCTCCTCACCCTCCCCCATCACCCACACTAACCTCCTCACCCCCATCACCCGCACTAACCCTCACCCCCATCACCCACACTAACCTCCTCACCCCCATCACCCACACTAACCCCTCACCCCCATCACCCGCACTAACCTCCTCACCCCCATCACCCACACTAACCTCCTCACCCCCATCACCCGCACTAACCTCCTCACCCCCATCACCCGCACTAACCTCCTCACCCCCATCACCCGCACTAACCTCCTCACCCCCATCACCCGCACTAACCCTCACCCCCATCACCCGCACTAACCTCCTCACCCCCATCACCCGCACTAACCCTCACCCCCATCACCCGCACTAACCTCCTCACCCCCATCACCCACACTAACCCTCACCCCCATCACCCGCACTAACCTCCTCACCCCCATCACCCACACTAACCTCCTCACCCCCATCACCCGCACTAACCTCCTCACCCCCATCACCCGCACTAACCTCCTCACCCCCATCACCCACATTAACCTCCTCACCCCCATCACCCGCACTAACCTCCTCACCCCCATCACCCGCACTAACCCTCACCCCCATCACCCACACTAACCTCCTCACCCCCATCACCCGCACTAACCTCCTCACCCCCATCACCCGCACTAACCTCCTCACCCCCATCACCCGCACTAACCTCCTCACCCCCATCACCCGCACTAACCTCCTCACCCCCATCACCCGCACACCCCACCCCATCACCGCACTAACCCTCACCCCCATCACCCGCACTAACCCTCACCCCCATCACCCGCACTAACCTCCTCACCCCCATCACCCACACTAGCCCTCACCCCCATCACCCACACTAACCTCCTCACCCCCATCACCCGCACTAACCCTCACCCCCATCACCCGCACTAACCCTCACCCCCATCACCCGCACTAACCTCCTCACCCCCATCACCCGCACTAACCTCCTCACCCCCATCACCCGCACTAACCCTCACCCCCATCACCCGCACTAACCTCCTCACCCCCATCACCCACACTAACCTCCTCACCCCCATCACCCACACTAACCTCCTCACCCCCATCACCCGCACTAACCTCCTCACCCCCATCACCCACACTAACCTCCTCACCCCCATCACCCGCACTAACCTCCTCACCCCCATCACCCGCACTAACCTCCTCACCCCCATCACCCACACTAACCCTCACCCCCATCACCCGCACTAACCTCCTCACCCCCATCACCCACACTAACCTCCTCACCCCCATCACCCGCACTAACCTCCTCACCCCCATCACCCACACTAACCCTCACCCCCATCACCCACACTAACCCTCACCCCCATCACCCACACTAACCCTCACCCCCATCACCCGCACTAACCTCCTCACCCCCATCACCCGCACTAACCTCCTCACCCCCATCACCCGCACTAACCTCCTCACCCCCATCACCCGCACTAACCTCCTCACCCCCATCACCCGCACTAACCTCCTCACCCCCATCACCCGCACTAAACCTCCCCCACCCCCATCACCCACACTAACCCTCACCCCCATCACCCACACTAACCTCCTCACCCCCATCACCCGCACTAACCTCCTCACCCCCATCACCCACACTAACCCCTCACCCCCATCACCCGCACTAACCCCTCACCCCCATCACCCGCACTAACCCTCACCCCCATCACCCGCACTAACCTCCTCACCCCCATCACCCACACTAACCTCCTCACTCCCATCACCCGCACTAACCTCCTCACCCCCATCACCCACACTAACCCTCACCCCCATCACCCGCACTAACCTCCTCACCCCCATCACCCGCACTAACCCTCACCCCCATCACCCGCACTAACCTCCTCACCCCCATCCACCCGCACTAACCTCCTCACCCCCATCACCCACACTAACCTCCTCACTCCCATCACCCGCACTAACCTCCTCACCCCCATCACCCGCACTAACCCTCACCCCCATCACCCGCACTAACCTCCTCACCCCCATCACCCGCACTAACCTCCTCACCCCCATCACCCGCACTAACCCTCACCCCCATCACCCACACTAACCCTCACCCCCATCACCCACACTACCCTCACCCCCATCACCCACACTAACCCTCACCCCCATCACCCACACTAACCCTCACCCCCATCACCCACACTAACCCTCACCCCCATCACCCGCACTAACCTACTCACCCCCATCACCCTGCACTAACCTCCTCACCCCCATCACCCGCACTAACCTCCTCACCCCCATCACCCGCACTAACCTCCTCACTCCCATCACCCGCACTAACCTCCTCACCCCCATCACCCGCACTAACCTCCTCACCCCCATCACCCACACTAACCTCCTCACCCCCATCACCCGCACTAACCCTCACCCCCATCACCCACACTAACCTCCTCACCCCCATCACCCACACTAACCTCCTCACCCCCATCACCCGCACTAACCCTCACCCCCATCACCCACACTAACCTCCTCACCCCCATCACCCGCACTAACCTCCTCACCCCCATCACCCGCACTAACCTCCTCACCCCCATCACCCGCACTAACCTCCTCACCCCCATCACCCACACTAACCTCCTCACCCCCATCACCCGCACTAACCTCCTCACCCCCATCACCCACACTAACCTCCTCACCCCCATCACCCACACTAACCTCCTCACCCCCATCACCCACACTAACCTCCTCACCCCCATCACCCGCACTAACCTCCTCACCCCCATCACCCACACTAACCTCCTCACCCCCATCACCCGCACTAACCTCCTCACCCCCATCACCCACACTAACCTCCTCACCCCCATCACCCGCACTAACCTCCTCACCCCCATCACCCGCACTAACCTCCTCACCCCCATCACACGCACTAACCTCCTCACCCCCATCACCCGCACTAACCTCCTCACCCCCATCACCCACACTAACCTCCTCACCCCCATCACCCGCACTAACCTCCTCACCCCCATCACCCACACTAACCTCCTCACTCCCATCACCCGCACTAACCTCCTCACCCCCATCACCCACACTAACCTCCTCACCCCCATCACCCGCACTAACCTCCTCACCCCCATCACCCACACTAACCTCCTCACCCCCATCACCCACACTAACCTCCTCACCCCCATCACCCGCACTAACCTCCTCACCCCCATCACCCACACTAACCTCCTCACCCCCATCACCCACACTAACCTCCTCACCCCCATCACCCGCACTAACCTCCTCACCCCCATCACACGCACTAACCTCCTCACCCCCATCACACGCACTAACCCTCACCCCCATCACCCGCACTAACCCTCACCCCCATCACCCGCACTAACCTCCTCACCCCCATCACCCGCACTAACCTCCTCACCCCCATCACCCGCACTAACCTCCTCACCCCCATCACCCACACTAACCTCCTCACCCCCATCACACGCACTAACCCTCACCCCCATCACCCGCACTAACCCTCACCCCCATCACCCGCACTAACCTCCTCACCCCCATCACCCGCACTAACCTCCTCACCCCATCACCCGCACTAACCTCCTCACCCCATCACCCGCACTAACCTCCTCACCCCATCACCCGCACTAACCTCCTCACCCCCATCACCCGCACTAACCCTCACCCCCATCACCCGCACTAACCCTCACCCCCATCACCCGCACTAACCTCCTCACCCCATCACCCACACTAACCTCCTCACCCCATCACCCGCACTAACCTCCTCACCCCCATCACCCGCACTAACCTCCTCACCCCCATCACCCGCACTAACCTCCTCACCCCCATCACCCGCACTAACCTCCTCACCCCCATCACCCGCACTAACCTCCTCACCCCCATCACCCGCACTAACCTCCTCACCCCCATCACCCACACTAACCTCCTCACCCCATCACCCACACTAACCTCCTCACTCCCATCACCCGCACTAACCTCCTCACCCCCATCACCCGCACTAACCTCCTCACCCCCATCACCCGCACTAACCTCCTCACCCCCATCACCCGCACTAACCTCCTCACCCCCATCACCCGCACTAACCTCCCACCCCCATCACCCCACTAACCTCCTCACCCCCATCACCCGCACTAACCTCCTCACCCCCATCCCCATCACCGCACTAACCTCCTCACCCCCATCACCCGCATAACTAACCTCCTCCCACCCTCACCCCACTAACCTCCTCACCCCCATCACCCACTAACCTCCTCACCCCCATCACCCCACTAACCTCCTCACCCCCATCACCCGCACTAACCTCCTCCCCCCCCCCTAACCTCCTCACCCCATCACCCCCTAACCTCCTCACCCCCATCACCCGCACTAACCTCCTCACCCCCATCACCCACACTACCTCCTCCCCACCCCATCACCCCACTAACCTCCTCACCCCCATCACCCGCACTAACCTCCTCACCCCCATCACCCCACACTAACCTCCTCACCCCCATCACCCGCACTAACCTCCTCACCCCCATCACCCGCACACCTCCTCACCACCCTCACCCCACACTAACCTCCTCACCCCCATCACCCGCACTAACCTCCTCACCCCCATCACCCGCACTAACCTCCTCACCCCCATCACCCGCACTAACCTCCTCACACCCCATCACCCGCACTAACCTCCTCACCCCCATCACCCACACTAACCTCCTCACCCCCATCACCCGCACTAACCTCCTCACCCCCATCACCCCACTAACCTCCTCACCCCCATCACCCGCACTAACCTCCTCACCCCCATCACCCGCACTAACCTCCTCACCCCATCACCCCACTAACCTCTCTCACCCCCACCCTCACCCCCACTAACTCCTCACCCCCATCACCCGCACTAACCTCCTCACCCCCATCACCCGCACTAACCTCCTCACCCCCATCACCCGCACTAACCTCCTCACCCCATCACCCGCACTAACCTCCTCACCCCCATCACCCGCACTAACCTCCTCACCCCCATCACCCGCACTAACCTCCTCACCCCCATCACCCGCACTAACCTCCTCACCCCCATCACCCGCACTAACCTCCTCACCCCCATCACCCGCACTAACCTCCTCACCCCCATCACCCGCACTAACCTCCTCACCCCCATCACCCGCACTAACCTCCTCACCCCCATCACCCACACTAACCTCCTCACCCCCATCACCCGCACTAACCTCCTCACCCCCATCACCCGCACTAACCTCCTCACCCCCATCACCCGCACTAACCTCCTCACCCCCATCACCCGCACTAACCTCCTCACCCCCATCACCCGCACTAACCTCCTCACCCCCCCATAACCCTCACCCATCACCCGCACTAACCTCCTCACCCCCATCACCCGCACTAACCTCCTCACCCCCATCACCCGCACTAACCTCCTCACCCCCATCACCCGCACTAACCTCCTCACCCCCATCACCCGCACTAACCTCCTCACCCCCATCACCCACACTAACCTCCTCACCCCATCACCCGCACTAACCTCCTCACCCCCATCACCCGCACTAACCTCCTCACCCCATCACCCGCACTAACCTCCTCACCCCCATCACCCGCACTAACCTCCTCACCCCCATCACCCGCACTAACCTCCTCACCCCCATCACCCGCACTAACCTCCTCACCCCCATCACCCGCACTAACCCCACCTCACTAACCTCCTCACCCCCATCACCCGCACTAACCTCCTCACCCCCCATCACCCGCACTAACCTCCTCACCCCATCACCCGCACTAACCTCCTCACCCCCATCACCCGCACTAACCTCCTCACCCCCATCACCCGCACTAACCTCCTCACCCCCATCACCCGCACTAACCTCCTCACCCCCATCACCCGCACTAACCTCCTCACCCCCATCACCCGCACTAACCTCCTCACCCCCATCACCCGCACTAACCTCCTCACCCCCATCACCCGCACTAACCTCCTCACCCCATCACCCGCACTAACCTCCTCACCCCCATCACCCGCACTAACCTCCTCACCCCATCACCCGCACTAACCTCCTCACCCCCATCACCCACACTAACCTCCTCACCCCCATCACCCGCACTAACCTCCTCACCCCCATCACCCGCACTAACCTCCTCACCCCCATCACCCGCACTAACCTCCTCACCCCCATCACCCGCACTAACCTCCTCACCCCCATCACCCGCACTAACCTCCTCACCCCCATCACCCGCACTAACCTCCTCACCCCCATCACCCGCACTAACCTCCTCACCCCCATCACCCGCACTAACCTCCTCACCCCCATCACCCGCACTAACCTCCTACACCCCCATCACCCGCACTAACCTCCTCACCCCCATCACCCGCACTAACCTCCTCACCCCCATCACCCGCACTAACCTCCTCACCCCCATCACCCGCACTAACCTCCTCACCCCCATCACCCGCACTAACCTCCTCACCCCCATCACCCGCACTAACCTCCTCACCCCCATCACCCGCACTAACCTCCTCACCCCCATCACCCGCACTAACCTCCTCACCCCCATCACCCGCACTAACCTCCTCACCCCATCACCCGCACTAACCTCCTCACCCCCATCACCCGCACTAACCTCCTCACCCCCATCACCCGCACTAACCTCCTCACCCCCCCACAGAGTTTGTGGCACTAAAGTGTGGATTTAAAGAAAACTGAAGGATTTAAGAAGAAAAAAAGTTCAGGACGACAAGGGACACTAAAATCCCCAAAAAATCTGATATTTATGAAAGATGTAGGTTCTCTGTCAGGTTCTCTGTCAGGTTCTCTGTCAGGTTCTCTGTCAGGTTCTCTGTCAGGTTCTCTGTCAGGTTCTCTGTCAGGTTCTCTGTCAGGTTCTCTGTCAGGTTCTCTGTCAGGTTCTCTGTCAGGTTCTCTGTCAGGTTCTCTGTCAGGTTCTCTGTCAGGTTCTCTGTCAGGTTCTCTGTCAGGTTCTCTGTCATCTGAGGTCGAGCTGTTTTAGTTTACATTGAGTTCTATGGGACTTTTTTCTGGGTAGCCCACGTGAATTTAGTCTGCAGTACCACAGCGCCCTCTGTGGCCATGGGTGGGACAACTATAAGCTAGTAACACTCTATCCAGTTATTGTTATAGATCCATGACATAGAGACACACAGGGACTCACAGGGACACACAAAGACACACAGGGACACACAAAGACACACAGGGACACACAGGTGAATCACAGGGACACACAGAGACACACAGGGACAAACAGGGACTCATAGAGACACACAGGGACTCACAGGGACTCACAGGGACTCACAGAGACACACAGGGACAGACAGGGACTCACAGGGACACACAGAGACACACAGGGACGCACAGGGACTCACAGGGACACACAAAGACACACAGGGACACACAGGGACACACAAAGACACACAGGGACACACAGGTGAATCACAGGGACACACAGAGACACACAGGGACGCACAGGGACAAACAGGGACTCATAGAGACACACAGGGACTCACAGGGACTCACAGAGACACACAGGGACAGACAGGGACTCACAGGGACTCACAGAGACACACAGGGACACACAGGGACTCACAGGGACACACAAAGACACACAGGGACACACAGGGACAAACAGGGACTCATAGAGACACACAGGGACTCACAGGGACTCACAGGGGCACACATAGACACACAGGGACACACAGGAGCACACATAGACACACAGGGACACACAGAGACTCACAGGGACACACAGGGACTCACAGGAGCACACATAGACACACAGAGACACACAGGGACACACAGGGACACACAGGAGCACACATAGACACACAGGGACTCACAGGAGCACACATAGACACACAGGGACACACAGGGACACACAGGGACTCACAGGAGCACACATAGACACACAGAGACACACAGGGACACACAGGGACTCACAGAGACTCACAGGGACACACAGGGACTCACAGGAGCACACATAGACACACAGAGACACACAGGGACAGAATCTCTCTCATAAATAAAACATGGGAGTTTGACATTGACTCTATGGTATGTTTTTGCTCTGACTGTAATCTGTGTTGTCAGTTTCAGCACCTCTGCTTCCACTAATGATTTACAGGCTCTGAAAAGACCATTAGCAATCTCAAACCACCCGCGCAAATGAAATCTTGTAAAGTTTGGTTTTATAGCAATCAAAATAAGTACCTTGGCTCCTGTGAGTGTTCCTGAACATGAACCATTTATGACTTATGGTGTGGACTGTTCGGTGATTGGCAGTTTCCGGTCTCGGCTCTTATGACAACGCTCTTTTCAATAGACGTTAACGGACAAATCTTTTCCCTAAACTCATCTGAAGTCTTTTCTGACACTTGCTCTTTCAAAGCTGGAGACAAAAGATGATGACTTTGGCAGCAGAGCGACTCCCACAACAACAAGTCATTTTAGATACACACACACACACTTTTCCAGACGGATATTTAATCCCCACACTTTAGACATCCACTCAACATCTTGTGCCTTAATATTCTGTTATAAAAGTCATCCATCTTTTTGAGTTCTTAGATTAAACTGCTGAAAAGTATTTATAGAAACAGTTTTACAAAAATATTTGTAGCAATCATCAGAACTCAAAATGAAGACAATCCGAGCAGCAGGATTTGGCAGTGTGTGTGTGTGTGTGTGTGTGTGTGTGTGGGTGTGTGTGTGTGTTGATGTGTGTGTGGGTGTGTGTGTTTGTGGGTGTGTGTGAGAGATAGCGTGCGTGCATGTGTGTTTGCTGCGTGTCTTTGTGTGTGTGTGTGTGTGTGTGTGTGTGAGAGAGAGAGAGTGTGTGTGTGTGTGTGTGCACATGCAAGTGTGTGTCTATTGAGCAGTGCCAAATCCAGTCTGCTGCAGTCAGTGATGTTGTTCATCACTAATGGACTCGGCTGATCCAACGCCTGTACGATTGTTCTTGTAAAATGTGCTTCTTTGTTGTTTATTGTGTCTCTAAAGAAAAGAAAATATAAATAAAAATACAAGCAAAAAAATATGTTTATTTTTACATGTGTTTTGTGGTGCTGTGGTATACACAGGTGCTGTGGTATACACAGGTGCTGTGGTATACACAGGTGTTGTGGTATACACAGGTGTTGTGGTATACACAGGTGCTGTGGTATACACAGGTGCTGTGGTATACACAGGTGTTGTGGTATACACAGGTGCTGTGGTATACACAGGTGTTGTGGTATACACAGGTGCTGTGGTATACACAGGTGCTGTGGTATACACAGGTGCTGTGGTATACACAGGTGTTGTGGTATACACAGGTGCTGTGGTATACACAGGTGCTGTGGTATACACAGGTGTTGTGGTATACACAGGTGCTGTGGTATACACAGGTGCTGTGGTATACACAGGTGCTGTGGTATACACAGGTGCTGTGGTATACACAGGTGCTGTGGTATACACAGGTGTTGTGGTATACACAGGTGCTGTGGTATACACAGGTGCTGTGGTATACACAGGTGCTGTGGTATACACAGGTGTTGTGGTATACACAGGTGTTGTGGTATACACAGGTGCTGTGGTATACACAGGTGCTGTGGTATACACAGGTGTTGTGGTATACACAGGTGCTGTGGTATACACAGGTGCTGTGGTATACACAGGTGTTGTGGTATACACAGGTGCTGTGGTATACACAGGTGCTGTGGTATACACAGGTGCTGTGGTATACACAGGTGCTGTGGTATACACAGGTGCTGTGGTATACACAGGTGCTGTGGTATACACAGGTGCTGTGGACATAACAAAAACAGCTCCAGCTCAGATCAAAAGGCAATGATGAAACCGTTTTGTGATGAGTTCTGTATTTATTTACAGTATTGCTCCACATACACAATCCCTTGTTTTGAAATACATGTTTTAATTCTATTTATTTCATGTATATTAACGTATAATAAGAACAACATGTCAGTCGTCTTCAGGAACCTTCTGTTGGGTCTGTTTTTCCGGCTCAGTTGTTGCCGATCTAAGCACACAGCGCTTACGTCTGCACTCTGTGTTTGTGTTGACACGGCTCTGTGGCCGCGGGGGTCTGTTCTGTGGATCCTGGAGCAGTGGGAGACGGACGTTTGGGCCTCAGCTGCGAGGCCAGAGAGTGCATTCATAAATATTAGAGAGAGGGAGATATTATAACAGACGGACAGCTGCAGGAGGGCGGACCTCTCTGTGGACGCTGTGTAAAGCAGTTTACTACACAAAGGTTTCCCGATACAGACTTTAATCCTGGGAAAATGTTATTTCTTCTGTATGTTTTTGACTTCGGCTTCAAAACTCGATACAGAAATAATTCCAAAAGCTCCATGACTGTTTTTTTCTTGTCGGAATGTTGATCTGATAATGGGAAATATGGAAAAATGTTAAACTGCTCTGACAAAGTGTTTTTTCTTTCGGCAGGTTCTCTTCGGAGCGAAAGCTTAAAGGCGTCTGATGTTCTCCCCATCCTGAAGGAGAAAGTGGCCTTTGTTTCAGGTGAGTGTGTTTTGAGGTCACTGCCTTCTCCCGCCAAACTGAATGAGGTCTAATGAGGTCTAATGAGGTCTAATGAGGTTTAATGAGGTCAGGAGGACAGGTCTCAGTCAAAAAGACGTCTACATCACAGTGTGTCAGAAACAGTATCGACAGTGTTCTCTCAGACTGACCTCAAACAGACACAGAACCAGTGTCTGGAACCAAAGGTAAGGATTTATGGATCTATATTTAGCGTGTCCTTTGCTTTTGGGAAGGATAAAGTCAGAGAAAAGTGTAGGTTTGTCCTTGAGGATGACAATAAAAATCAGTGTTTCTGGAACAACGTTGTCCTTGATGCTTGGCCTTGACCGCGCTCGTGTCAAAATTATAAGGAAAAAATGTTCTTCGATAAATACAGCGCTTTGAGACAGAGAGCGGCTGGAATGAATGAGACGCAGGGACAGACAGACAGACAGACAGACAGACAGACAGACAGACAGACAGACAGACAGACAGACAGACAGACAGACAGACAGACAGACAGACAGACAGACAGACAGACAGAGCATTGGCCTTTGGGGCCTGGAGGTCGTGGGTTCCAGTCCACCACGGGACCCACTCCAACTGCTCCCACAAATGTCTACTGTCGTTGTGTCCTTGGGCAAGACACTTAACCCCACGTTGCCTGAAGCCCCCACTGAAAGACCAAGGCTGTGTCACCGCTGATGTAGCAGACCCACCCCCTGCAGAGGATCAGAGGGACTGGAGCTGTGAGACTTGGGGCAGTTCTCATTGTCACCCCCCGACCCAGAAATGGAGTAATAAAGGGGTTGAAATGAATGAATGAATGAATGAATGAATGATGACTCCCTCAAGCAAATGTCGAATATTTAGTACTTTTAATTATATACATTTAAGTCGTGCATCTTCTGGTCTACGAGTATAAATATGAAAGCACTTGCCTTACACACATTCATGTTCCTCTCATGTAGTTGTTTGTTCTCATGTAGTTGTGTGTTCTCATGTAGTTGTTTGTTCTCATGTAGTTGTGTGTTCTCATGTAGTTGTGTGTTCTCATGTAGTTGTTTGTTCTCATGTAGTTGTGTGTTCTCATGTAGTTGTGTGTTCTCATGTAGTTGTTTGTTCTCATGTAGTTGTTTGTTCTCATGTAGTTGTTTGTTCTCATGTAGTTGTGTGTTCTCATGTAGTTGTGTGTTCTCATGTAGTTGTGTGTTCTCATGTAGTTGTTTGTTCTCATGTAGTTGTGTGTTCTCATGTAGTTGTGTGTTCTCATGTAGTTGTTTGTTCTCATGTAGTTGTGTGTTCTCTGACAGCTGCATAAACGCTGCCGTCTCCTCCGTACAGTAGAGCCCCATCTTGTTTTTACATTTTCCTGAACCTAAACTGCAGAATAGATTATTGTTGTCGGCCGCCGTGAGGATCCAAAGCCCTCCTGAGTCACAAACCGGTCTGGCCTCTGCTCACGCCCCCTCTCTCTCTGGACGTCCCTCACTCAAACACACTTCATGTGGAACTGAACCAACAACAACGCTGGAGGTGAAGTTCTACTCGACTTTATCACTTTGGATTCAAGTGTGTGAGAGGAAAACGAACGCGTCTCTGGTCAGACACTGCTCAGAACAACCACAACATGGGACCAGACAAAGAATCTGTTGTTAAAACACTAAACAAGAAATGCATTTATTTATGGTTGGTTTTGTAAACACACAAAGACAATGAGCTATAATTGATATTTAGGGACGCACGGATTTTACTGTTAAGGCACGAGAGGAACCCAAGAGCTAGAAAAGATAGATACATAGATAGACAGATAGATAGATAGATACATAGATACATAGATACATAGATAGATAGATACATAGATAGATACATAGATAGATACATAGATAGACAGACAGATAGATAGATACATAGATAGACAGATAGACA